AACTGAACCCAAGTCCTCTGCAAGAGCAGCTACTGCTCTTAACTGCTGAGCCATCTCTCCAGTCTCTGAGGCAAGAGTTTGAGACTAGCTTGGACTACAAAGTAAATACAATCTGATAGACTTAGCTAGGTATGGTAGCATCATCCCAGTACTTGGGAAGCTGAGGCAGGACTGTCTGCATAGTGAGTGCCAGACCAGCCTGTATATTCATGTATTGCCTGCATGTATGCAAATACATTAACTATACAGCCATCTCTCCAGCTCCAGAGACTTATCTTTAAGATAAACAAAATAAAAAATGTTGAATCATATCAAGAAAAGGGCTTGTAGAAACTACAAGGGCCTAAAAATGTAAACTTCAGCAGATTTAATAACTACCATTTCTCCATCGTAAGTGAGACACTCTTGGAAAACACGGTCTAGGATGACATTGGTCATGGTTGCTGTTCCATAACGGGAGAGTTCTTCTTTACTGAGCATGCCATTGTGGTCTTTATCAAGATTCAAATACTGACCTTGGGAAGAAAGATAATAGGAAGATACTTAGGACCAAAAATTTTTTAACACCAAAGAATGGACATTAGCAAAATATTTATTTTATTGCTCAGTATTTTGATTATGAAGTGAAACTAATGGCATTACAGTGAAGGTAGTGGCATATGAATAATGCATACCATCAGTGATCCTTGAAATGTGGATTAGAACAACTATTAAGCTAAAAATAGTTTTAAAAACTCATGAAGTCTTCGGGCTATTTCACTTTATATTTTTTTTCTTTTATTTTTTATTTGTGTATGTGTGTATAGCATGAATCTATGCAAGTGCACCCACGTCATGCCAGTAGAGGACACTAGAGGCAGTCAGATTCCCAGGAACAGGAGTTATAGACAGTTGTTTCCAGTTTGTAACCATTTAAAGCATTCATAGGTTTCTAAACTAGGTAGAGAGAGGAGTCAAGAGAAAGCACTAAAACTTGATGAACTTAAAGACAGAGATGTTCCCACAATTAGCATTAGAAGACCATACAAAACAATGTAACAGACAAATGAAATTCAGTCAATCCCTGGAATGCTCTGTGAATCCTGACAACAGCATTTTATTACTAATTAAGACAATAAGACAGGGTCTAGAGAGATGGCTCAGCAGTTAAGAGCACTGGCTGCTCTTTCAGAGGACCCAGGTTTGATTCCCAGCACCCATATGGCAGCTAACAACTACTCAGTTCCAGGGGATCTGATGCCCTCTTCTGGCCTCTGTGGGCACTGCATGACATGGGTGCATTTACACACATACAGGCAACATACTCATACACATTGAAAAAAAAAATAAAGCCTGGCATCGTGGCACATACCTTTAGTCCCAGCATTTGGGAGGCAGAAGCAGGAGGATATCTGTGAGATCAAGGCCAGCCTGATCTACATAGTGAGTTCCAGGCCAGCTGGGGCTACAGGGAGACCCTATCTCAAAAAGCCAAAAAGAAAAAAGAGTACTAATTCTTAAAGTAATAGGATACTTTGATCTTAAGGTAAAATAGCTTATGTATAAAACTGTGTCTGGACACCAGGCACATGAAGAATGAATAGTTGAAACTTTATGTAATGGGAACTTACCATAAACCCTAAGGGCAGAAGAAGCAGAAAACCAATTGGTTTCTTGACTCTTTTTTGACAGTTCCTCATCCCTAAGCTAAAGAAACACATAGACAGAATTAGAGGATAGCAATTATCAAGTGATATAATTAAGTAATTTAGAACATATTTACCTCTAGTAAATCATCTAGGAAGCTGCATGCTAAAATATCTTGAATTTTTATCTTCCTTTTAAAAAATATAATGAAGCACAATTACTTAATTTCATTTACAGAACAAGATCAATTTAATTTTTTAAGGCATTATTTTACAGAGGCAATATTTTAAAACTTCTAGCTCTTAAGTTCCAAAGGCCTTTTAATATTCCATTATAAAAAGGAAATATTTTTTAAAACTTTATATATCTACTTGTATACTCCAAATATGTAAAAAAAAGCAATACACTCTTCCTAAAACCACAGTACCAGAATCTGTATAAAGTTATGTCATTTTGTGAACAGAGATGAAACTACTAGTTAAAAAACAAAAACAAAAACAAAAAACAGCTGGGCATGGTGACGCACCCTTTAATCCCATCACTGGGAGGCAGAGGCAGGTGGATCTCTGTGATTTCGAGGCCAGCCTGTTCTACATAGTGAGTTCCAGGTCAGCTGGGGCTACAGAGAGACCCTGTCTCAAAAAGACATAAATAAATAAGTAAATAATAAATAAATACAACAACAAGGAGACTTCTTGACAGGCTCTAGAACAGGAAAAAAT